ATCGCGGTACAGCTGGGACGCTTATCAGACGATCGGGTTCGACCTTCGAACGATCGGGAGCCCTTTCTACGGTATCGGATGCTTTGACGAATACAGGGACGCCTGGGACGCTTTTCGATGAGTCGGGTCGCCTTGGACGATCGGGAAGCCTCTTGATCGGGGACGCCTGGAAAACGCCTTCTACGGTCTCGAGATGCCTTTGACGATCGGGACGCCTGACGCTTTCGACGATCGGGTCGCCTTCAGACGAGTCGGGAAGCTTCGATCGATCGGGACGCCTGGAGCCTTTCGCGATCGGATGGCTTGCTCCACGCGAGGCTTCTTTTGCTCCTTCGGATCCTTCGGGCTTTCGACGACGTTTCTTTGACACTTTTCCGTCAACGGGCAACGAAGGCCTCATTTCACGAAGTTTTCCCTCCGGTGAGCTTGTATCCATGTTTAAAACGAGGATCTGAGTGGAAAACTTAAATTTTATAGCAATCTTACTCCCTATTTATAGATTATACAAGGGGTATTCGATAAGGAAACAAATAACTCTTATTAATAACAATGAATATAATCTATTCCGTAAATTAAGGAAGGGAATTTAATGCATCCATGTAGTCTTCCCACTGATACTGTTCACAGCCGTTGGATATCTTTGGGATCGTAGGTTGAGATTTAACAGATTGTATATATGCTATCAAGTATCCAACACAAGATGCTAAGGGAAGTTTGAAATTATTAATATTTGTGAATTACCTTGCTGTCAAAGGAAGTTTAAACTTTCTTATCATCCAAAGAGCAGAAAGTTCATTTATTTCTGTATTAGGTTCAAGTTTATGGTGGATTATTTAGTATTTTCCTTCCTTTTAAATGGTAATAGTCATTCCTGTATTCTGGCATTTTAATTGGATTTAGTTTCAAAGTCGTATTTCTTTTTTCGCATAAGATTTTTAAACTTTTCTCAGTTTTACTCTCATTGTATGCGTTGGGGCTTGTGCGTAGGTTTATTTTTTGCAGCAGCATGAAACATTTGTTAAGCTTCACGGTTTCTTCACTTGAGACTGGTACGGTTCTAATGTAAAAACCCTCTATATGTAAATTTTATTTGGTAAATAAAGTTTGTTGTCGTTTACCAAATCACGAAAGAAATATTTACTTTCTTGAAAGAAAAAATGCATGGAGATTAGGAGGGAAAAAAGTGCGAGAGAGAGAGGAGCAGAGAGAGAGATTAGAATTATTCAGCGATGGTAAAAATACTCTTAAATAGGTTTCCCAGCTCCTGCTAAGGGTCAATTTTTAACTTGATTGGGGATTATTACACGTCATCTGTTGTCAGGTCGTAACTTTCAAAATGCATCCCAAGCGTATGATGTTCCACGTTTCGGTATTCTGATAATCTTCATTGTCAACCTATACGAACATTTTCTTTAAAGAGATTTGACCATTTGTTTTGATTATTCACTGCTGGTACTGTTTTCTTACTATGATTTATGTCACGCCGACAAACAAAATCAAGGGTATCGTTTCAGGATTTTTTGCAAAAAAGCTTGTCAGCGATGATTCTGTAAATCGCCCATCCAAATTCACGAAACAAAGGGTGTGTATAGAGGTTGCATTAGATATGATTTCTTTCTATGCAACCTATAATCTATTTATTTTGTTTCATATTTGGTTTGTGTATATTCTTGTATCATATTGATAGGTTGTTGCAATCACGTTGAAATTTGTCATGATTTCTCGTCGGTGGAGTTTGTCATCGAACCCAATGTCGTTTTTTACTCACCCGCAACTCGCAGTGCTGAGAATAGAGCACTAGGCAGGATCGACTGCAGCCATTTTATTATTAGTTTGATTTTTTTAATCTGCTTTCACTGATCTAGTTTACCAATATGAAATTAAGTTATTCGTTTTTTTGCATGAAAACTTTAGAGCTTCTCTTGCTAAAGTGATTACATTTTTACATATTTTTCTGATGTTCTTGTACACTTAGTTAGTGCCACCCATTATATGATCAATTCCAATGCAAATTTGATCTTCCGCCAAGTACATTATATTGTAAATGCCTTAGACTTATTTTTGGAAAACACATCCCCGATCAAACGATGTTCTGCTCTTTTTGGAGCTATAATTTTATTGTGCTTTGGGAGTGGGCTTTTGCTCTAAGGCTTCTTATTATACGAAACTACAAGTTGCTGAACATAAATTACATCTTTTTTATTATATTTATTTTATTTGTCCTCTAATCCAAAAGTACTATATTGCTTAGGGTTAATGCAAATGGAAAATTTTGCATGAAAAACTGCGAACAACGCTACCAACTGCCTAAAAATACGGATTTGCAAAATTTTTTTCTGAGAGAATTCCTGGTTACCTAAATTAAAAATTAGGGTTACCCTGGATGCTCGAAGATCTTAAGACAGTATTAATTAGGATACTTTTTCCTTTGAAGATGCGAGGTTATTGTGGAATGTTTAGTTCGACTGTCCGTGCCAGATCATGCTTTAACGTCTCTCTGAATAAAGAGGTGGATTTAAATTCAAAATAGAATGTGACCGTGGTGGGCATCTAATTTTTCAATGCAATTTGTCATGAAAATATGTAAACGGAGGGCTGATATGCCTTGAAAGAAAAAACAAACGAAAAAAATAGTGAAACTGCACTGAAACCAAAAAACAATGGCTGATTTTGTATATTCAAACTTCCAATGCAAAAATAAGATACAAGTGATCTACATATTAGAAGTGTTTAGATTCGGCTCTCTAAAAAACTTAGATGCTGCTAGGAGCCTACAAAGAAAGAAACAAAAAAAAAAAAAAAAACATAATCACACATAATCCCTAATACAAAAATAAACTTAGCCCCAAGATAAGCTCTCTAATTCTCCTGGAAAATCAGCCATATTTTAATAATTAATTTTTCTCTTATTTAATTCAATTGAAATATTTCTCTAAATAATTCCCTCTTCATTGGAAATCTTTCTCTAACATAATTCCCTTCTTCATTTCTCCTCCTAACATAATGAATCATGAGCTTTGCTGGGGGCGCCACGAGAGGGGGTCGAACTCCTGCTCCAGTTTCATTCGGGCAGATTTGTTGTCCGACTCTTGCTGGATCGGTTGGCTAGGTGTGGCCTAAGCACGCCCCACACTCTTGCTGCCGTATCATTACTCCTAAATCGTCAAACGAATATCGCCTGCCCAAATGCACTCCATTATGTGCAGGTGTGTGGAGAAGAGGGCGTGTGTCTCCGATAACACCCTCGGTTGTGATACATTGGAATATTGAGTGTATTGAATGATGATGCTAGTATCTTCAGATGATATTTATTGGCAACAATGCGCTCAGTCACCGCTCAATAAGGCCTGAAAGTAACTATGGTGATGAGCTTCTCATTCTTCCTCTGGCCATTATGTTCTTTGTTGTTTGATTTCAGTTTCAAATAAATTTTGTCCTCGAGCTCGGACATGCACTTCTCTCGTTTATGTTAGCTGCCATCTTTCTTAAGTTATTTTAAGCCATCAACCATGATTGCAACCATTTCATTCCCAAAAATCACATCGCGTACTCATGCTTACTCAAGGAGAAGAAAGTCTTCACCACTTGAACTCCTGTAAGTTCATCACCACCCCTTACATATTCCCTACTCCTCTCTATCTTACTCTTTTTCATACTCACCTCAACATCTTACGTCTTCATCAACTGAGCACCTCAAGCGGGTCGACGAACCGATTCGAGATGAAGTTATTGTGTAGCTTTACTGTCGTCCATTAGAAACCACCACTGGTTGTATTCCGATCTGCCCCTCATACTTTCATAAGTGTGTGATTGGAGTGAATCCCACCACGGGTTTAGGACACTCTATCACGTCTGATGTAAATGTGTCATTTCCTCTATGATCTCCTCGAACTCATCCCCACTCTCCCCCTCGCTGGCCATCAATACTGAAGGTGATCGATGCTTGATCTATGTCCCAGTTGTAAATCTCTCTCATGTTTGAAGCTATAATATTTTTGCCTGCTTATTTTGTACACCCGCCTGTAAGACACTTGAAATTGCTCTCCTGGGGACAAACTCATGTGCTCATTTCCTTCAACACTTCCCTATGAAATGACATCGTATGGGTCCTAGCTGTTAGGGTCGTAGATGTATCTCTATAAGCCCCCTCATGGTGTTGCTATGGCCGGCTTTCTTCCTTTGAAATATTTCTTCACTTCCATTCGAGCAAGCACCATAGTTTCCCTCAGCCCTCTAGGTCTCAAACACTCTGAGCTCTGCTTGTATGTCTTCCTAAGCCCTTCATGAATTCTCTTCCAACTTCACGAAAATTCCCTTAGCCTTCCGACAACTGCTCAACTTCTCCGATACACCATATTGTCCCCTCTCTTGAGTTTAAAGCATACAACTGCTCGTGGAGATCTCATTCCCGAGGGCTCGTAAATGTTCTAACAACACTCCTTAAATTCCACGGCCCCCCCCCCCCCCCTGAATAGATCGGGTACCTTGCATCCCCTCTACTACATAGCTAGGCTTTTCCCTCCAAACATAGCTCAACCGCCAAAAGTTTTTCCCCTTCCGTCAACCCATTGATAGCCAAAGTAATGCTCCACCTGATATACCCAATCCTAGAATACTTACCCATAAAAAAAATTGTCATCTTTAACTTGATCTTGCAACCATACCCCAATGGCTTCTCCTCCGTTAGTTCTTCCCATGTAATGATGATGCGATTTTTTCCATTGGCTGATTGGACCCCATGACTCTCCCAACCATTACTCATCCAGTCCACCTACACACATGCCCGGGTGGTGTCATGAAGGGTTTTGGCCTCTCCCCCTTCCTGTGCTCAATCTTTCGGGAATACCTTTTCATCACCATCAGATCCCCGGTGGTGGTCCTTGAGGGTAAACATTCTCCACTTCATCAACGTCTTCTAGAATTTTCTTTCCCTTTGGTTCAACCCTTGAACTAGGTGTCGTCAATTCGAGTCATGGGTCGGCTTCGGGTTGAACTCGAAAATGAACAATTCGGGGCCACGCCCAAAATTTTGCGGGGCGTCAGCCGCGGGCCCAACTCCGAACCGTTCCGATTTTCGAACCCGAACTGACCCTCGCGACCGACAGACACAAAAGCGTATTGCGCTACGGGCAGCGGCCGCCTTGGCTGGCATCGGCGGTCCTCAGTCGGAGTCGCGGTGCATCGGGAAGCGACATACATCACGCAGGGACGGGGAGCAAAGTGAGTGACAATAGTGCCAGCGAAAGCGACGCGAGAAGGCGCGCGGCGAGCCCCGGTCACACGAGCGAGTAGCGGGTCGCGCGAGCACGCCGAAGCCGGGCAGCGCGGGGGGGGGGGGGGGGGGTAGGGCAGCTAGGTCGGGGGTAGGGCAGGCGGGTCAACAGAGCTCAGCGGCGGGCAGCTCGGTCATGCGGGGGGAAGCTCGGTTAGCGGGTCAATCTGGGTCATTTTTGGGTTTCCGGGTCGACCCGAACCCGACCCAATTTTTGAAATGAGTCGAAAACTCTAACCCAAACCCGACTCGGTTCGGGTTGACCCGAACCCGAAATTTCTGTGTCGGGTTTTCGGGTCGTGTCAAATATTGACACCCCTACTAGGAACTCCCAGTGAGGCTTTTGACTGCATTTCAATCATCTTCTTCATCATGTCTTTCAAGTTTTCAAAGCAGTTCTCTATGGATGAGAGCCTTTCCTTCCATGTTGAAATATCTTTTCTCCATTTCGGCCTTGATTTGTTCCATCTCGTCTTCCAACACATCCATCTTATTTGCTGCCATTTAATCTTGCCCTGATATTAATTTGATATGCTTTGGAAGTAAAAACAATGAAAAAACAGTAGAAAATTGCATGAATACTAGAAATAATGGTTGATTATGTATTATCACTTCAATACGACAACAAGATATATGTGATCTATGATTAGAGAGGTAGATTGGCTCTCTCAAACAACCTAGACATCGCTAGGAAGCCCTCAAAGAAAAAGCTACAACAAAAAAACAAATCTCACACATAACCCTAATACAAAATAACTAGCCCTAAATAAGCTCTCATAATTCCCTCCAAGATCAAACCTCTTTCCTTTATTTATTTTCTCTCCTATTTGAATTCAAATTGAAAATCTTTCCCTAAATAATTCCCTCTTCAAACTGGGAATATTCTGGGAATATTCCCCTAAATAATTCCCTCTTCCTAACATAACGAATCACAGCTTTGTTGGGCCCCACAAGAGGGGCTAAAACTCCTGCTCTTGCTCCTGCTTTTGCTCCAGGTTTCGTCCGACCCAGTGGCTGGTTCTGCTCCTGCTGGACCAATTGGCTGGGTTGGCCCAGCCCGTTCCCAACTCCTGCTGCCCTATCAAGGGCACAACTTATTCACTATTCATGCTGTAATCAACATAAATGAGTGGAGAAAGATACATTAAGCCGGTTTCAAATGATGATGACTTATGAAGAACACTGACCTTTTTAATGAGTTTCTAACTTTCTATTTTTATCCTTTGGGTGCTTATGATGTTCATGATCTTTTTGCCTTCACATAAATGTGTGGAGATAGATACATAAAGCCTAACCCTATCTTTGGGATAAGGCTAATGATGATAATGATGATAATTTAGAATTAATTCGAGCTTATTTAATGAATTTATAATTTTTATGCTTTTGGGCAGTTTGAACGTGAAAAATCTCCCTCAGCTTGTTATTTTTGTTTTTTTAATTGTGCCATCATTTAATTTGAATTTGTAAAGGGAGATTATATAACCACTGAGTTGGGAGGCATGTACTTAAACAATGGATATGGAAATAAAAAAACATAAATGTGATTGGCAAGTCCCAAGATGCCAATCCTTTCAACAAAAAAAGTTTAGTGCAGTTCTTAAGCAAAATTTCAGTAAACTGGTTCACCCATGCATCTTTTATCAAACTAGAAATTTTTTTGTCAACTAACCCGCTTATTTCTTTAACTTGGTGATTTTTTATTTTATTTTTCAATTTTTTTCATATTAGTAGATACGAAGGATTTGAGGTAAATAGTTCATTTGTATGAAATGTGCGGATCATGTCATAACTATTTTGTAATGGAAATAAATTATCATAAAACTGAGATAAGTTAAAAATTCTTATAGAAGCTTGATTTTTGGCTGAAGTTTTCTTCTTAAAAAATTATCTTTATTGTTCTACCAAATATTATGCGTGGAATTTTGATATGTGAAACTTTGCACATATACCCTAAGTATTAATAAATATTGTTGGTGTCCATCTGTATTGTGTTTAGACATGGAAAGAAGGTTTATTCGTATTTGACAATTTGTGAACTACATGATCTTTCTTATCAAGCTATAGATGAATAGTGTCCAGTTTGCATGGTGTGTGGACATGGCAAACAGGGTTGGTACTAGCAAAAAACAGGCATTCCTGTAGAGTCCGTCTTATCATATAAATGACTCAAATAATCATAAAGGACTAGTCAAAATTTTCAGGATTTCTAATCCAGGTCCTAAGTCCTGGATGAGAAAAGTGGAGGATTGCGTTAGGTAGTCGACAACCTGCGTAAAACTTGTCGAATAATCATGACATGAATCCTTGAATTTTAACAGGACACAATGGCGAAAAATGATTCATGTAGCCGACCCCACATAGTGGGACAAAGACTTGATGTTGTTGTTGTATGATCAAACTTTGGGATATCAACTTTCTTTTTAGGGGGATTTACAATTGTACATGCAAATTCTTATGTCTTTATATAACTAACACTTGAATTTTCATATTTATGTAACATCTTAGATTTTAAATGATATAAAAATTAAAACTAATATTACTTCTGTGAAATAACTGAAGTAAAATATGCCTTTTTATGCATATGTTTTGATGTAATCAAGACACTTAGGATATTATATAAATATATAAATATTTATATGTTTGATATGTAAGTACATAAGAATTTAATTTATACAGTAAATTCCTCTTATTTTTATCATCGTTATGGGATGAGTAGTACTAATACGATTTTGTCATGCACTGTCATTTTAATTTTTACTACTTTTCCTTACAATTTTCTTCTGATTTACTGCTTCACTGCTTCAGTCCAGCTGCTTATGCTCTCATGCTGCTGCTGCTGCTGCAACCTCTGCCTGCTGCTGTTTCTACTGCTTTGCAATTTTCTGCAAGAGTCTTATTTTGAATGTCTGTAGAAGCTTTAGGTTTGACGATAATGAATTATTTGTAAGTCTCGTGCTTTTGTTTACTAGGATTTTGATGACATGTTGCGGGTTGTTTCCACCGTGATTGATACCAGAAACTATTCTAATCTTTGTTTTTGGATGCTATTGGTCAGAGATTTTTGTTTTTTTTTTTTATAATTTTTTTGCAAAAAATAGTTTCATTTTGGATTTGTTGAGTATATCATTCATGGCTTACTCTGGTATGCCTTTCCACTTATTATTATTAATTGCCTTATACTAGGTTTTGTTTGGTATAGTTTTCTTACTGACTCTTAAAATAGATTTTTAGACTTTGTTTGGGACGACTTTCTTACTAAAAACAACTTTCTAGTTGTACTAAAAAAAGCTGCTTTAAGAAGCAGGAAGAAAGCTGTCCCAAATGAAGCCTTAGGCTTCGTTTGGGACTGCTTTCTTACTGCTACTTAAAATAGCTTCTTAGTACAAAAGTTAAAATTTTTATACTAAGAAGTTGCTTTAAGAAACAGTAAAAAAATTATCCCAAATGAAGCCTTAGTATAAAAAATTAAAAATCTGCTTTAAGAAACACTAAGAAAGTCGTTTCCAACGAAACCTTAGTCCTCTTTTAGCTGATTTCAGAAGGTGCAGATACTCTTCCCATCCATTCAGTTTGAATGAAGGAATAATTTAATTTTTTTTTTTAATTTTTTTATTACTACGGGTTGAAAAAATCATTCCCAACCATTCAAAATGAGGGGTTAGGATGATAATTGGAGAAATCCGAGTTCTATGATGTCTGCTCTTATATGTTGACATCAACGGATGGAGCAAAAAAGAAAGAGCTGACAATTCAAAAGAGCCAATTGCTCATCCTGCTAATGCTGGCTATGGAAATACTTAATCTTTTGATGCATTACTGTTCTTCTCTGTTTTTTGTTTTCTGATCGGGGAAAAAATATAATGTATTTGGCTTCTTTATATTCAAATTACTACGTGACTGATATTTTTAACATCTAAGAAATAATTGATGAGGGATTTTGTTGAACTTTGTACTTGTTTTGATACAGCAGTTAAAAAAGCTCGTCGCTATAAATCTGCTTTGCAGAATTGCTGTTAACTGGAATTTTTTAATTGTTCTATCATCATTTTATTTGTCTATTTCACGTAGAATTTGTTTAAGATAATTTTCTTATTGTTTTGTTTTTTAGATTGTAACTATAATTTTATTTGTTTATTATTTTTTGGTGGTTTTAAAAAAAATTTTGTGTTTGGAATTTGAAATGATGTAAGATTGCTATTTTTTTTTATTTTGACCGTCTAAATTTTTTTAAGAAATTTTTTATTTTGTCTATTTTTATGCGTATTTTCATCTATTTTTACGAGTATTATATATATATAACAATAAGAAGTTTTTTATTCATCTTTCATAAGGAATTATTATATCTTTATAAAACTGTATTCTTTAATAACTTGGTGTGAGTATTATTTATATTTTAAATCTTTTTTTAATAATTTACATATAAACCATGCATTTAATTTTATATAAAATAAAAAAAGAAATAATCATAAAATGCATGTTCTTTTAATTTTTCATACTTCAAGTTATGAGCATGAGAAAGGGGGAGAGAGATTGGGAGAAGAAAGTTATTGTTGTGAGGTTTTATAATTGATTTATTCTTTATTTGGGACATCTATCTTATAGCTATTTAAAGCAAATTTTTGGTACAAAAATTTATCAATAAAATTTAAAAATTTATTGATAAAACCTAAAATTTATCAATAGATTTTTGTACTAAATAATTATTTTAAAAAGTAGTAAGAAATTTGTTCCAAACAAAGACTTTGGCTTCTTTTGGGATGATTTTTTTAATGTTTCTTAACTTAGTTTTTTAGTACAATTTTTTTTTACTAAGAAGTTGCTTTAAGAAACAACAAAAAAGTCATCTCAAATGAAGCCTTAATCCATCAAATTAGTTGGAAAAATTATCTAATTCGATGAATGCTATCATTACTCTACTTTAAATTTCAATCTTATTACTATTATGTGAATTTTGATATTATATTTAATTGTTATTTTTATAAACTTAGATATATAGAGATTTTAGAAATTTTTATTATATAACTTTTGATATGTTGAGTGAATTACTATGCTTCTAGTGATATGTATATTAATTTTTCAAAAAAAATGTGGCTTTATAAATAGTGAGTACATATATTTCGATGAAATTTCTTATAGAATAATAAAAATTTTAAAATTATGTTGTGGGTATTGCATATAAATTTTTTGTGAAAATTGTTTTAAAAAATAATAAAAAAACCACCTCAAACGAAATCATATATTAAAGTTTCATTTGGGACGGTCTTCTTATTGTTTATTAAAGTATTTTTTTAATATGTAAGTAAAAATATTTATACTAAAAAATTATTTTAAGAAACAAAAAATAAGTTATTCCAAACGAAACCGAGAGTTGATCACTCTCAGTGAGTTTCTATAAGGAAATTCTTAGTTAGTTAGCTTGTACTCTTGTTGAGTAGTCGAGTTTAAAGGTTGAATGACCTTAGTGAATGGGAGGCTTTGTGAGTCCCTAAGTGCAAGTCCAGTTACTCACTCCGAATTCTTGGGGGACTAAAACCCTAGATTCTGAATTGATTCTCTTATTAAAAAAAGAATAAGATTCTCATATATATATATAATTTAAATGGCCATAAAAAAAATGCCACAAAAGAAATATGGAATTCATAAATATTCAGAGGATTCGAAGCCACGTAATCTTATGCCATCCAAAGATGCTCCGTGCCGAGCATTCCCTTCTCCTCAACGAGAAATTATATTTTCGGGTTGTGCCAAATATTGACACCCATAGTATTTATGTATTATATTTGCTATGTTCCACTCAGATTTTTGGGAGTTGGAGCTGAAGCATATATGGAGATCAAAGCAGCTTATCGAAGATTGTCAAAGGAATACCACCCAGACTGCCAGACACAACCTCTCTTCCCTTGAAGACGGCATCTGAGAAATTCATCAAGCTCAGAGAAGCCTACAATGTGCTAAGCCGCGAAGAGAGCCGCAAGTTCTATGATTGGGCTTTGGCTCAGGAAGCAGAGAGCAAAAGAGCTGCACTGAAGCTTGAAGACCCTTACCAGCAAGATGTTCAAAATGCAGAGTCCATTCCTGACATGGTCGACCGTCTCAGTGGTAAGAACATGCAGCTAAGTGATCAGGCCATGACTGCCTTAACTTTTGACATTGCTATTATTATCTTCTGCATTTGCTGCATTGTCTATGTAGTCTTCTTCAAAGAACCTTATTGAAGTTGTTTTTTTTTTCCTTGACTAAATCTTAAATTTTAATGGTAGTTTTATGAAGATGTGGATGTCTATATACTTTGATGTATATAAGCAGACCAATAATGAAATCTTTCTTACATAAAACAACAATCATGTAGGATATAGGATCGTCATTAGCAACAAAAAACAAAAATCAAGAATGTTGCAGTAATGCTTTATAGCGTAGAATGTTGGTCATTAAAAGATAAGCATAAAATTAAATTAAGTGTTGCAGAGTTGAGGATGCTTAAGTGGATGAGTGATTATACTTGTGAGATGAACATATACGTGAAAATGTTGGAGTAGCTCCTGTGTCATATAAGATTAAAGAGTCTCTTTAGATAATTTGGTCACATAAAACACTGGCCTTTTGATCACCCGGTTAGGAGGGTGGATGTATTAAATTTAGCTTATATTAAGAAATGTTGAGGTAGAAAATATTAAAAATAATTTTTTTTCTTAAATTTAAATGGGAATTTGACTCTTAACATGAAAAAAAATGAAAGATTCATATAGCTGACTTCATATAGTAGGATAAAAGCTTGATATTATTATTGTTATTATTTTAAGAATGTCATTAGAGTAACAAGCATGCTTTTGTAGATATACCGCCCGTCTGTCAACCGCCGCCAGACCTCTGCCCTACCACCCACCACCGTCGGAACTCCGTTGGACCTCAAGCCATCTAACGACAGTCACCGGACCACTGTATGTCCGTCGAATACTGCCGAACCTCCGCCTAGCCGACCACCTTCGTCATGCCACTGCTCGAATAATAGATAAATGATTATAATTTATTTATTCTAATTTAACATTATTTAGAAAATATTAAATATATAATAATGGAAATCATAGATCAAACTATAAGTTTATTAATTTAATGTCTGCATAATCATTTAATTTTTTCTATCATATTTTAATATTTTCATAAAAAAATAATTATATTATCATAAGTAAAATACAATAAATTTATCTTTTTTCAAATACTATCAATCAAATCATAAACACAGACGAAAATTTGTTGACAAAATTAATTAAAAAAAAAAAAAACGACAGAGATCGGAATTCCATCATATTAATCCATAAATCCAAAATAAAAATTTATAAATAAGATCAGAGACAAATATTCAACCACATTAATTCGTTAAAACCAAAACGAAAACAAAGGATAAAAAACATTAATTCCTTCCCTCGTCCTCTGTCGAAATATCGAAGAAACACCTGCAAGCAAAGAAATGAATCAATGGTGGAGAATGTAAGCTTCCAAGAACAATACAGCGTCCCCGGTGGCCGTATCAAATGCATGCGTCTTCATAAAGGCGAACCCACGGGCCAGCCTGAAAATCCCTGTTCCGCCCACCACCGGCAGCTCCCTTACCTTCTCAATAATGGGATCCCTCCCCACGATAGCTACAGAGCTCCCGTTATAGATGCCATACATGAAAATCACATTTACGGTGAAGTAGAGATCTGATCCATCCGTAGAGGACACGGAATAGAAGCCACGGGCACGGCCCAAGGGCTTCGAGTTCGGGTCGGGTCCTTCGGTGATGGGATCGTCAATGACATAAATGCTTCCAAAGTGGAGGCCAGTGGCGGAGGCGCGGGAGCCATTGGGATCGGCGGCGACCTTGATGGCGGTTGCGTTGGGGCTGCTAATCTTGTCGTGGATGTAAAATTGGAGGTGAGATTGCCGGTCGCTGTTGATGGGGATTGGGAAGGTTGGGGAGGAGGTGGAGCTGGGGGTTGCGAGGAGTAGGCAGAGGAGAAAGAAGAATGCAAAAGGGGGGAGAGGATTTGCCATTTTAGGGTGGAATGATGTGTGATAGTGTGCATGAAATCAATTTTGCTAAGTTATTTATGCTTTTTCTTCATATGTAACAGTTTCTGTTATTTGGAAACTTAAATTTTGCTTTAAGGACCAATAGAATAGTGTAATGTGTAGATTATGGTGACGCTAACCCCACTCTCTCTTTCACGTTTTGCCACGTTGTTCTTCATGCGTTGCCAAGTTGCTGTAGAGGATTTTGAGAATGATAGCATTTGAGATTGGGTCTGCAGCCGGAGAAATTATTGTGTACACAATCTGAACATGTTCGAATGTATGTACAAACTGTTTATTTTGTTGCGTATTTTTTGATATATAATTTTTTCTACGTATTTTTTTTTGCGTATTTTTTGTGTATTTAGTGAGTATTATTTATTTGCTACTTATTTTGTCACAAAAAAATTATGTATTAAAAAATACGCAACAAAATTAGCAGTGTGTACGCACATCCGAGCACGTTCGGATTGTGTACACAATAATTTCTCCTGCAGCCGACGGAAGAAATTTCTCCCATCTCATTCGAGCTCGAATCCACTAATTATCCAAATAATAATATTAATAATGGCATTTGCATATGCCATCTTCTCGAAAAATATGATCTTCATTGTTTATTTATTTATTTTTGAAATTTGAGGTCTAGTCTAATATATTCATCAATAAATTTTAATTAGTGGGTTATAATTTTCATAAAAATCAGACTACTAAACAGAAATGATAAAATTAAGAATACTATATTTATATTAAAATAAAATTTATAATTAAATCCAAAAAGGGCGAATAGATATAGTTATCGTCTTATCGTCCAAGGCGGGAAGAAAAAAGTGCAGTATATTTGTTAATCTTTTTTGTGAGTAGGCAAAGCCATCAAATAGAAGACCATTCTCCATTGCCATAATGTGTGGTTAGCACATAATCAAGCAAAATGAACTCTTCAATAATTGCATATTGATCCGAGAAAATAGAGAAGTGCATAAAAATGATCTTCCAACAATCCGTTCGTAAAATATCTTAGAATAAATGACAAACATCATAATAGAACATATTAACAAAATAATAGCCGTTCAAATGCAGTCACTCAAACACAGAAAATGATCAGATAGATAATCAGCTTTAGCAAGTGAAATTCACAAAGCATGAAGACATAATAACATACAAGAAGAAGAAAATAAATAAATATCGAAGACCCTCCATTAGTGAAATATAATTTTAAATCAGCATGAAGGAAACTTAGTAATCAAAGAAGAGGTAGATATGACTTTTATTATGATATTTACATAACACAAATTTAGTTGATCATAGTTTCCCTCTTTAGGAAACAATTAGTAATTTTGAGGCCACCTTTTAAGGTTTTTGAGAAAAAGGGAAATATAGGTCAGAGAAAGTTACTTCCGAATCATTTTCATCTATCATTTTATTTGAAAAAAAATGTTCTAGTCATAGTAGGCAACTCAAATCCTATTTTTGTTATCAATAATTTTGATATCTCGGATTTTTGTTATCCTAAAATTGATTAAAATACAAGATCTCTTGCTTTTAATGATTTTCCATCATTCACCCTATACATTTTGATGGGTTAATAATAAAATTTTATTTGGTGATTTTACTTATATGTTATTTTAATTGAAATAGAAAGTATAATGTTTATTATAAAAAGATAACAAATCAATGTACTACATTTAAACATGAAATATAAGATATGTATATGTTTACTATTCATTTTCATTTAGCTCAACATGCAGTTTTTGCTTATTACAGACATACTAATGAGTATAGTGATAGTTTTATTGAATATATATGATATTTGTTGTAATGTTTTACATGATATGAAATTTGTGTAGAGGTAAGAAAGGTTGACTAGAAAGGATTGATAGATTCAAGTTGGTTGGAGACATTAGCCTATACATGAGGGTATAACAATGACATTTTTTTTTTAAATAATGTTTGTAGTTTAATTCAAAGTGATATAAAAATGGAGTTACAAGAAAACTGACTGATATGATATGATATGATATGTCAATAGACATAGAGTGATGACTTCTTACATGAATATCACCAGTCTTATGATATGTTATATGAGTTTGTTTCTTAAAAACTTTACTGATATGACTTAGACTGATTCCAATAATATTGGCCTACAAGTCTTGATACCAGAAAAATATCATAGATAACTAGATATCCTATTTTTCTTGTATATGCATATAATATTCACGCACAAGATAAATGACATAAGTGACATGATATAATATCATACACATATGTTATAAGATATGGATGACACAAGTGCATAATAAGTCTAATTAGACTTATACAATAGCACATGATATATATGAATCACTTGTTATAAATTACATGATTACATGATACACAAGTATATGACACATATGATTTACATGTTATATATGTTATGTTGCATTGTCATTGAATACATTGCATTAAATATAGAACATGATATACATGCATAGACACCGCATGAAATGCAAATGTTAAATTAGGGGTGTCAATATTTGATACGATCAAAAATCTGACCATTAACCTGACACAAAAATTTAAAGTTCGTGTCAACATGAATATGTACTGGGTCGGGTTTGGGTTAGAGATTTTGATTTGTTTGTAAATTGGGTCATGTTCGGGTTGACCTAGAAACCCAAAATAAACTTGATTTTGACCCAAGAATCGACTCTATTGCATCCGCACGACCTGGGTCATGTCCATCACTTCAAATATCACCATTGTTGCATTTGACAGTTCATTTGTCGCGTACGTGATAGTTTGCCGCTTGTCATGCTTTCAATGATGGATGTCCGGCTACTGATGCTGGCCGTCTCGCTTTCGTTGTTGGTCATCCAGTTGCCACTGCTGCTGCCAATGCTGGTCACCCTTTGTCGCTATAGCTATTGTGCTTCTAAAAAGAGGATCGTTGGATGAAGCCTAGATGGCTAGATCAGAAGTAACGACGATGACAAGTCCCGACATCCAGTTTCCCTTAAAGGCATCCCGAGCTACCGTAATCACCATTCATCCCGCAACCCTTATCGGCATCCCGAGCTACCGCCTTACTGGCATTCAAAAATTGGAAGTAACAACGAGTTGTCATAATCATAACAACTTAATAGCTCGCCAACGAGTCGGATTTGGGTTGACCCGAATCCAAAGCTGGTCGGGTTCGTGTTCAGCCCGTTGGCAAAAATGGGTTGTGTTTGGGTCGGTTCTAATAGTGCCGAGTCATTTTCGGGTTCGACCCGAACCCGACCTATGGCCCGATTTTGACAGCCCTATGATAAATGCTTATTAAATAGTAGTTGTACTAATTTCATAAAATGAAATATAAAATATTTTATTATTGATAGGCATAAGAATGATACATTGCATGGCTACTGATCAGTAGATATACACTATACACTAATTTTTAGTACTCATATGACATGTTATTGTTCATATTGATCTCTATATGCTCTTATAGTTACACATCTACACTATTTTGGATTGAATGATTACATGCATATTACTTGTATTATCTTGTATTGATTGCAGTGATAGTTTCTAATAACTTTATGAGTTGTTAGCTAAGTTTGTGATGTTAATATATATTTCAAAAGAGATTAGAATCTTGTGGAGTTAGGTAGACGAAGGTTCATATTCATTTTATTTTTATATTTTTATTTTATTTTTTTATAGTCAAGAGTTTAGAAAGCTAGATTGAGGAATATATTAATTGATTTCATTAGTATTATATATTAAATTTGAGGAATAGATATAGTTTTATATTTTCTTATCTTATAGTAAGAAATTTAGAAAGATAGAGGAATATATTGATTGATTTCCTCAGTATTATTATTGCGTCCTAGAAAATTAGCGGCGGTAGAGAGTGATATAATTTAGTGTCTTGACTTTGGATGAAGATCCAACACAAACAAATAATAGAGTATAGTTATAGCGTTTATAAGAGACACTATAATTTAACATGAAAACCCCTAAAAATGGATAAAAACCATGGGACCTAATCCAATTTGAATGAATCCACTAGTGTTTGTAACTGATTACAAATGAGACCCTTCCTTATGGAGGAAGGTCTTGCCTAGACGTAGCAAATATACATCATATAGAATGCATTATATGGAGGGAGTTGGAAGAATCAATGTTAACATATTCATTTCGGAGGCATGATCATAGTTGACGAACAATGTAGGTCGGAAGGACTGTAGTTGGATGATGGTGACCAGAAAGATCATAGTCCAGTGACGAATGTAAAAAAGACCATAATCACAGAGGTTAGGAGGACCCTAGTTGGACGACGGTGGTTAGAAGGATCATAATCGATAAAAGACGGAAGTCAAAATGACCGTAGTTGGCAATGGTGGTGAAAAAGACCGTAGTCGATGTGCGATAGAAGTTAGAAGGAACTCTGGCAGTGGTCAACGAACGGGCAGAAGTCCGGCAATGGTAGAGAAGAACTCCATTGGCGATCGACGAATGGGTGAAAGTTTGGCAATGGTCAACGAACAGACAGAAGTCTGATATTGGTCTAAAAGAACTTCGATGGTGGTTGCGAAATGGGTGGATGTCCGACGGTGGTCTGCGAACAGACGAAAGTTCGACAGTGATCAAGAAAAACTCCGATGGTGGTTGATGAACTGGTGGAAGTCTAGTGGTGTTCGACATTGAGGCGAAAGTCTAGTGGTGGTCGAGAAGAACTCCAACGGTAATTGACGAATGGGCAGAAGTCCGGTGGTGGTCTGGAAGAAATCTGGCGGTTGTCAAGAAGGGTGGAAGTTCGACGTTGGTTTGGGAGAACTTCGTTGGTGGTCGACGAACAAACGAAAGTCTGGCGATGGTCGGGAAGAACTTCTAAGGTGATCGATGAATGAGTAGAAATCTGGCGGTGGTTGACGAACAAACAGAAGTTCAACGGTTGTCGGGAAAAACTCCAGTGGTGGCCAAAGAACGGGTAGAAGTCTGGTGGTGAACAACGAATAGAT